TTTCAAGTTTTCCTTTCTCTTTGGAGTGTTACAAGCTGTTTGTGAATAGATAAGATCCCTAAAGTTGCAAAGACTGAAGTCTCAAACCCAAAGAGATATTCTTTATAAAATTCTTTATCCCTCCTAAAACGGCTCGTTCTAACACGCCCCCACATGTCTACGTCACGATGTGGGAAGATTTGCATAAAGCCGCCCAAATGTTCACTCAAAGAAAGAAAGCGTAACTTTTATTCTCGCTGTAGTATTGTTACCGCCGTCGCCATGTCGTGGAGACGATGTGTGTTTCGTTGTGAAAGCGAAACTACTTTGTTTGGTCTTCCAAAAGAGGACACATCTAGAAATCAGTGGTTAATCGCCATGTCGTGGAGACAATGTGTGTTTCGTTGTGAAAGCGAAACTACTTTGTTTGGTCTTCCAAAAGAGGACACATCTAGAAATCAGTGGTTAAGTTGTATTTACAACACTGTTCCAGAACAGTTCAACCCAAATATTCAGATGTGTGCAGCACATTTTACGGAGGACAAGGACTGTTTCCTGGGAGATTAGCCAACAATGCTGGTGTTCTGAAAAATAATGCTGATTCACAGCATTCAATAATGAATTCACAGATTCATTCACAGTTTTGAGCAGTGTAGCACTTGTAATTTGTCATTTCTCCGATCACAAATGCAGACATGGTTTTATGTTTTCATTCACAGTTTTGAGCAGTGTAGAGCAGCACTTGTCATTTGTCATTTCTCCAATCACAAATGCAGACATGGTTTTATGTTTACATGGCGTGATGCAACGCAACGCGTAAAAAGACAGTATAAGTCATTATAATCAGTAATTATGTCCCCACTGGATGCTACAAATGCCTCGTTTATAATGGGTTTTATTGGTTTTGTCTCGTCGCGCCGGGACACGGCATCACAGTAAGGTAAAGGGCGTAACATTTCCGCTTGAGGTATTCGGCCAATCACAACGCACTGGATAGCTGGCCAATCAGAGCACACCTCGCTTTTCAGACCGATGAGCTTTGTAAAAATCTACGCGTTTCAGAAAGGCAGGGCATAGAAGAGAAACAGTAATGTACAGTAATTTGTAACTAACTGCATGATTTTTACTGTACATTTCTGCCATAGTCACCACTAATAACATACTCCTAAATATAATGTAGCAACTTAAAATTTTCTGTAAAGCTGCTTTGCAACGATTTGCATTGTGAAAAGCGCTATACAAATAAATTTGAATTGAATTTCAAAAGTAATAATGATTGCATTAGAAACTCCATTAATTATATTCAGATCCAGTTTTTACATCACCCCAAAAGTGTTTTAATAAAGAGCATTATAATTGGTCAAAGTACCTCGTATGCAGCAATTATATAGGTATCATGTCTCTGAAGGTTCACGTAGAAAGGTTAAATGTAATGTGCAAGTGGCTCCAAGACTTTCAGGTTACCATGACAATGTGGTTCTTGGGCATATTAGGCGGGAGCTGATAGATGTGGCACCAGTAAGTGGTTTCCTGTGTGGGGATGATGACATCAGGGGCCAGGACCTCCAGTGTGCGGACATCTCTCGGGAGAGCAGGGGACGGAGCGTCTGGACGCAGGAGCAGCACTCGCTGGATGCCAGGCTGGAGACGGGATATGTTGAGCTCATGCAAAGATAGGATGGGCCGCTCCAGCATGGCGTAGATGATGTGGACAGTACCTTCCTGGAAATAAGGAATCCTGTTGTTATTTTAGTCATTATTTAAATTCACGTTGATGTTTTTCCAGACCCATGTTCATTCTATGGAAAAGAGCAGCCTGAACATTCTTCAAAACATCTTGTTTTGTATTTCAAGGAAAAAAAGAAAATCATACAGTTTTGGAACGACATGAGGGTGAGTAAATAACGACAAGGTTTATATACATTTAATTTAGACTCTTTCCTAACACTTACACACATTTAGGCCAGGAAACAATACTACTGTAAATTAAGCACAAAACGTTATTTCCTGACCCAATATTATTGTCCACATGTCTCTTTGTACTACCTCTACCCTCTCTATCTGCTATTCTGATTCATTTGTTTACTAACGCACCTCTATGATGTAGTCGTGCGGGTCGCAGGTGCTGAATGGTCTTTTGAAGAGCAGGAAGAAGCCTTCAGTCGACTGATGAGTCTCCAGCAGCTCATAGTCCTGCTGAGTGTCCAACATCACTCTGCCTTCATTATCACTCCAAGCATCCTAAGAAAATGAAATGCAATCATGAAAACATCATTTTGACTATGTCTCTACCATTCAAATATTTTAAGGCTTTTATGTATGGAAGACCATTTCTGCCACGGAATAAATAAGGTAATTGTGGCTTTTTTCCTCACAATTCTTATTAAAAAAAGTCAGAATTACAAGAAAAAGTTTGAATTGAAAGAGAAAATTCTGTGGCGGAAAAAAAGAATGACAAGATTTAAACGAAGAATTTGTGAGGTATAAACTCGGAATTTGCAAGAAAAGGGTGAGATTTCTGAATTTATATCTCACAATTCAGAGTTTATTTCTTGCCATTTTAAATTTATATCTTGTAATTTTGTCTTTTTCTCTGACTTGTAAGTTTATGTCTCACAATTCTGAATTTCTCAGAATTGTGGATTAATTTCTTGCAATTCTGAATTTATATCTTGCAATTCTGATTTTTTTTTCCGAATTGTGAGTTTATATATAACAATTCTGACTTTTTCCTCATAATTGTGAATTCATATCTTGCTATTCTGAATTTATATTTTGCAATTCTGTGTTTTTCTCTGAAACGTGAGTTTATATTTTACAATTCTGACTTTTTCTTCAGAATTGTGAATTAATTTCTTGCCGTTCTGAATTTATATCTTGCAATTCTGTCTTTTTTTCTCTGAATTGTGAGTTTAAAGCCCACAATTTTGACTTTTTCCTCAGAATTGTGTTCATATCTTGCAGTTCTGACTTTTTCTCAAAATCGCAAGTTTATATATTGCAATTCTGAGTTTATATTGTGCAGTTCTGACCTTTTTCTCATAATGTGAGTTCATATCTCGCTATTTTGAGTTTATCTCACAATCTCCGAATTATGAGAAAAAAGTCAGAATTGTGAGATATAAACTCATTTGTTATATACAATTGAAATTATGAGAAGAAATCTCAGAATTGTCAGACATACTTGCAATTGCAAGAAAAAGTCAGAATTGTAAGATAAGAAGTCGTAATTACCTTTTTTCATTATTTATTCCATAGCATAAACACAGACAAACACACACACATACACAAAAAATAGAATTGCGAGATGTAAACTCAGAATTCTGAAATAAAAGTCAGAAGTGTCTTATATAAACGCAGAATTGTGAGATGTGAACTCAGAATTGCAAGACAAAATTCTATATTATTAATAAATGCTAAGGTTAGTATTCTGAGAAAAAAAGTCAGAATTGTGAGATAAAAATATTTATGTTCACCAAGGCTGCATTTATTTAACTAAAAAATACAGTAAAAAATATTAATATTACGAAACATTATTACAACAATTTTATAACTATGTTTTAATATAAGATCCTTCAGAAATCATTCTAATATGCTGAATTTGAAATATTTTACTGCCAGCCATTTTCCATGCCCTACAATGTTTTGACTCACTGTCTGTAACTCTTCTCCTTGACATACGCTGTGGGAGGAAGGCAGAGCGGCTGGCCATACAACATTTATTCAAAACGGACCGAACTGTGCAGTCCAAAGGCAAAATAATAAAATAAATCATGCATAATGAATGAAGGGGGGCCTTGACACATGCATGACCTTCTACTTTCAAGCACTTTATTTGGGGCGCGGCAGGCAAAACCCAGACGTGAGCTGTTCAGCTCGATGTTAGGAAGCAGTATTGCACTATATGACTGAACAAGAGCTCTACGTGTGTGGGTGTCTACTGTAGCCGGGCAATCATAACAAGATCCAGAAAGCAAGACTTTTCAGACTCAAGAGTAACAGAGAGCGTTTGCTCTGACACTGGGGTTAGAAATTTGTCATCAGTCGTTCATTATTTAGCAACAAAAAAATCCCAAGTTGAGCGCGGCCTTTTAAATAGTTCACCCAAAAATGAAAATTCTGTCATTATTTACTCAACTTCATGTCGTTCCAAACCTGTATGACTAATGTTTCTTCTGGTTAAACACAAAATTAATTTTTAAGGCAAGACACTGCAGGCAAAACCCTTGTTTTTTCACACACAGTTCTTTCAAAGTAGTAGAAAGAGCAGAATCCACATTTAACTGTTAATTTTATTACACTTTATCTATTTGCCTCTTACAGTACACCTTTAAAGTCTGTTGTCTCAAAATTAGCCAGAAATGTCCTCTTCAGTAGCAAACCAAACTTTCTATATAACTTAACTTATAACCCAATCTATATTCTAAAGGGTTTGTTCATATAACATTCATCTGATTTATTTTGTTCTTAACACATGGTAGATTTTCTAGCTGTTTATCCAGTGTTCAGATTAGATGTCATATTTAAATAAAAAATTAAATTAATTAAATCAACATAACCAAAAACTTGAAATGCAAAACTGTCTTATATTATGATTAATCAACTGGGAAATATATATTATATAATATAATATAATATAATATACTGTATATGTGTATATATATATATATATATATATATATATATATATATATATATATATATATATATATATATATACAAAAACACTCATATTCTCATATTTCTAAATTTTGCAAAAGCACATAATCCTACACCATCCCTGGAGCAGATTTGCAATACCATAAAGCAAAAACCATCATAAAGTCAAATCTTATAAACTATTCTTACCCCAAAATAGGATTTGTGACCGTCGTCCCACAGAAGGACCAGGTCTATATATACAAAAACACTCATATTGACAAGATTCTAAATTTTGCAAAAGCACATAATCCTACACCATCCCTGGAGCAGATTTGCAATACCATAAAGCAAAAACCATCATAAAGTCAAATCTTATAAACTATTCTTACCCCAAAATAGGATTTGTGACCGTCGTCCCACAGAAGGACCAGGTCAGCATTTGTGGGCTCTCCCCGATCGGACATGCCCAGCAAAACGCCATGGTGGAGCTCTTTGACTTTCAGCTCCAGATAGACCTCCTGGGTGGGATAGCTGATGTTCCAGGACAGCTCCAGCTGACCCGAGGGGTCTAAGGGGATGTGATAGGCCAGGGCGGGTCTGGAGTGGACCGCAGGAGCCTGGTAGGACGCCACCAAGAGCACCACCACAGTGACCAAAACGGTGAGGTACATGAGGGTGATGTCTTGCAACCGAAGATCTTTGTTCAGAAGACGCATTGCCTGGGTCGTCTTCTGCTTGAAGGCCCTTTTGACGTCTTTGGGCTTTCCTGAAGATATTCTCTCACCTCAAGTTTTTTTTGTCGTTTTACTGTGGTAGCATTCACTTCTTTTCGCTGCTGTTGTTCTTTGGCATATCTGTCGAGTTTTCTTATCTTGACTTCAGATCCGGTTTCAGTTTGATGTCTCGGTTGGTAGGTGTCCACTGGTCCTCGTCTTGGTCCACTTCTGCTGGCTGTGGACTCTCTCTGGCTTTTAAGAGCACGACCCTGTGACAGCCTCTACTTTATCCTGCCTTAATTCTATTAGCTGGGTTAACGAAAATTCAATTGTTTATTTTGCCCTCTGGTCAAACTTTTTTCCAGCATCTGCTTGTTGTGAACGAGCAGGGCGGATTTCTGTAATGAGAACTTTTTTCAGTGATGTAGATGTGAATAAGTACATGGTACAGACATTCTTTTATTCCCACTGCTGTAAGGCTTTTAAATCTGTAAGATGTCAGAATGCTGTGTTGCTATTTGTTTTGTTTGTGTGTTTTGTATGATGTTTACTAATTTTATGCTGCACCAGCAATCGGGCTTATAATAAATTTGAACCTTGAACCTTGAATAAGTATCATGAAAAAGAACTGACATGTAAAGGTGGTTTGTGATGTTAGATTGCATTAGGTTATATGCATGTGGAAAATGCATTTAATTGTTTTGCATTTGCCTGTTGCTTGTTTCATGTACTTACTATAGTAATAACAGTATAATTATGTGTATTTATACAATTAAAATTAATTCAAGCAACTAGCCTAATCCTAAACCAAACCCTAAACCTATAGTAAGTACATTGTTAATTAATATTGTGCAATTACAGTGTAATAATAGGTTAATAAGTGTAACCAAAAAGTATTGATGTATCAAGTTAAAACTTCATGTTTTTATTAATTATTTGAAAAATAATTATAAACAAAATCTCAACTTGATAACACATATCAAAGATCCTTTATGAAAAAAAGGTACTTGCTGTTTGGTGTATACAAAATTAAATACATTTTCAAATGCAAAACTTTTCAAACTGATGTGCACATTGTGGAAGTACACATCTGTCATGTTATTTTATTTATTTTAATTACTATTATTATTACAATATAGCTATGATGTCTCTGCGACTGCCAAAATGTGGCTTTACAGTGCATAACAACAATTATGATTCATTAATATTGAGGTCATATCAGAGATGTCTGTTTGGTGCCTGGGAAGGATTTTGTTTTCTTTAGTAGGAAATAAAAGGCTACACGTTAGAGAGCATAAATGTCAAGTTATTACGGTTAATTGAAACAAAAACACAAATTAAGCTCTAAATGAATGTGCTGTTTGCTGCCTTCATCTCTTTCAGTGATTTCCAATAGTGTGAGGAAGAGAGACTTGGTTCAGACCATTAAACATTCAATAGCTGAAATGTATAGACTTTAAATTGATTATTCTATTGTTTATAATTATATATTTTTTTTAATTACATTTTTTTATATATTGTTTTAAAACTGTATTTTGTAAGTATAAATACACACACACACACACACATATGCACATTTAAATAATATGCATTATTGATGTATTTGTTTATTATTATATTATTAAACAAGAGTGTATTTCATATTACACTGTATATAAGTGTACGTTAATAGTGTATTTGTATAGCTGGGCTTTATATGTGCACAGTATTATTTAACAGCATGTGTGACAGACGTGTGCTCTGCTGTTTGCTTGGAGAAAGACTATTTCTAATGGCCGTGCTTCTGGAAGGAGCCACCTGTGTCTTCATCCTTTCACTGCTTTATAAGAAATGAAAAGATATTGAGATGAAACACTTGCAATAGTAACCTCCTTAACGCACATGCTCAAATGCCTTGAGCCAAAGGGACACGGTGCAGCTGCTGCCAATTGTGTCGTCTCAATCAAGAAACATGGAGAGCTGGTTTGAGGGATAAAGATTATTTAGGTCCCTGTGGCAGTGGCGGGAGGCAGTGTGAATGTGGGAGGGGCGAGACAGGAACAGATGCCGGTCTGATCCGCTAATGAAATGAAGTTGCAGGGCCAGAGGGGCGTTCAGTGCCCCTGAGACATGACTGTTCCTCAAGCTGGAGAAACAGATCATCAGGCCTATGACACGCTAAACCCGGCATGCCAAGTGGAACTGAATTCTGGATTTGTAGATTTTATGAAGGAAGTGTGAGTTGTGATTGCTCGTGCAACAGTTGCCAGAGTGGTTGTCAGGATAGGGTTTCATGGTTACCAAGGTGTTCTGAGCATTTTGTTTGTTTCGTTATTGTTACAATGTGTTATTGGTGATTTCTAGGCTTAGCTAAAATCAAAAGAGAGAAAGAACAACAAACAAATGAGAAAGAGAAATTAAGACAGGGAAAGTGCAGAAGGAAAGGAAAATAGGAAACAAACACTTGAAGGATCCAAATTTGTTGTCCCTGAAATGGAAAACGTTTTTTATTTGTTTGTTTTTGTTTTTTTGTTTTGCTTTGTTTTACAGATAAGGAGGATCAAATACTAAAAAGTAAAAATATAATGTTTTGCTTTTGTTTCGCTTTGTTTTACAAATCAAATACTTAAAAAAAAAAGTAAAAAAAAAAAAAAGTCCTTGAAATCATATTAAAACTATTTTGAACTGCACATGCCAAAAACATTATAATTTCCAGAAATGTTGGACATTTATGGAAATTTTCAGGAATTGTTGGAAACTTTTGGAAAGTTTCTGGAAAATGTCCACCCCTTTGCAACCCTAAATAAAATATAAAAATATTATATTATTACATTTATTATATTATTATATATGTAAATGCTATAAAATGTATAAACATTATTCATGTATAATAAAATAAATGAATTATTCGAAATATTATGAATTTTGGCTTTTAACATTTAGATTATGGTCTCTTGAATTTCTATGGTTTCATGTTCTCAGCACTCATTTCACAAAACCCATATTTATCAATGCAGCAAGTGAACGTGTATGTAATGTGCATAAGTCCTTACCTTTATTTGACCCTCTAACTCTAGCACTTTCTATTCTATTTTAATTCTACTTTATCTATATTTATCTTCAGTGTGTGTGTGTGTGTGTGTGTGTGTGTGTATATGTGTGTCTTTGGATAAAAGCGTCTGCTAAATGACTAAATAAATAAATAAATAAAGTCTTTTATTTGTTTTTTATTTATTTATTATAACCTGGCCATGCTGATTTGTGCCTAATTTCACTGTCGTCTAGAAACAGATGAATTTGCTCCAAAATGCTGTAGAGTTTAATGGCAACTCCACTTATGACAAAAGAACAAAAGATAAGGGTAGGATTTTCCATCGTTTTAAAAAGTTAATAATGCAAGTTATTAACCTTTAAAGGCTATTCTACCTATGCATGATTATATGGTTAGTTGCATTATACTAATCCCATTCTGCTTTGTTATTTCCCTTTTCCCTGCTGTTACGATCAGAACAGACCTTCAGTCCATTTTAGGTCGTGCCCCATCAGTTTTAGTGTATATTCTGCATGTCGCACACACATTAATGTAACAAAGGGGGCTGAACGCATGCAGACACACACCATTGAGGAGTCAGATGGCCTGAGGCTCAAACTGACATTATCCAGCTTAGAACAGTCAGTCAGTCAGTATTACCTCAAACACACTAAACACAGAGAAAGAGAGTTGTTTGGTCGTGTGTCAGGAGAGACGTATCAGACCCAGGGTGTACGGAGGGGTGAAGGGCAGGGAACAGCTCTGGTCCGGTCACTTTCCTTATGGTCAAGTATAATGCACAGCCTTGCACTATAATAGAGCTTAATATGTGAGAATTGAATAATTAATGCAATAAAAAGTACTTTTAATTTGTAAAACTGTCTTCTTTTTTTTTTAGAAGAACCAAGTGAGGACAGTCTTAGTGTTGAAGTGAAAACTCCTCTGCGATATGCTACTGCTGAAAACTTTGGGGTCAGAATTATTTTTTTAATGTGTATGAAAGAAGTATCTTATGTTCACCAAGGCTGTTCAAAAATACAGTAATATTGGGAAATATTATTGCAATTTCAAATAACTGTTTTGCATTTAAAGTTTGTTTTTAATTTAATTTATTCCTGTGATCAAAGCTGAATTTTCAGCAGCATACTCCAGTTTTTAGTGTCACATGATTCTTCAGAAATCATTATAATATGTTGATTTGCTGCTCAAGAAACATTTCGGATTATTATCAATTCTGAAAACTGTCTTTTTTCAAGATTCTTTGATTAATAGAAAGTTCAAGATCAATAGAAACATTGTAACATTATAAATTAGAATTAGAATCATCCTGTGCAGAATAGAAGTATTGATTTATTTAAAACAAATCTTACTGACCACTAAACTTTTGAATGGTAGTGTAAACTACATTAGTTAAAAGAGCCAGTGGCCTTGTTATTTACTCTAGAATGTGCGCACTGCGCTAGCTGGACAAATTAGAAAAATAAAACTACAAATAGCTGGTACAACACAAAAAAAATTTTAATCCACAAATATACAAATCCAACTGTTTTAAGGGCTGTTCAGACAGAATGCGGTTTACTATTCCATTGTTCTTCTATGTTAATGCGCTAAACGAACGCGTTTGACTGTTGTGTTCACGACTTTTGCAGTCAAAAATACAGTCTGTGTAAATGGCCCTTATTGTGCAATAAATAAATTAGGTCTCATAGTTGAAACTCATGAGAAACAACGTAACTATTTTAGCAGATTGTATGAAAACGTGCAAAGGCAATCATACAAAATCATATGAATTAGCCACTAATTCGCCAAATTGTAAAATAGTTATATTATTGATATTGCTAAATCTGTAGAGCAGATGACTCCTGTTGTCCTGACAACCACTTAACTCAAGATGCACCTCAAGATGAAGTTATGATGAAAAAAGCTGGAGAAAAGGCTGGTAAAGCTTTGAACCTTTATAAGAGCACTCTAAAGTCCATAACCCAACCCA